TCTCTGGGTATGTGGAATGTCGGAATGGATAGCTGTGATGATGAGCATGACCAGACGGCAGTTACGAGTGCGCTGGATCGAGCAGAGTTCGCATCGAAGTTACTTCTTTTGACTGCTTATTGGATTAAAAACTCTGTTCAGTGGAAACAATTACCCGTGTTGTATCGAGTAAGCACGAAGTTACTGTTAACATGAAGGCACATATAGTGCATGCAAAAATTAAAAGTAATGATTCGCAGTTGTTTACCTTTTGCTAAATTTCATGATATATAAGATAAGAAAATTCTGTCCCGAATTCCCGTTTGCCTGCCTGAAAAATTTTTTCCAATAGCTTAAAGAATTACCTGCATTTGAATCTGCTAACAATTTGAACTATCTTGTGCCAGTTTCGATTTTTTTTTTCGGCACATCAAGAGTCGAGTCACATTCCGAAAAAAATATGTTTGCAGAGGAGTAGTCAAATCCAGTATGGGTCTCCCGAGTGTTCCGCTTCTCACATATACTATTTACATTGTGTTACGGGAGGGGGGGGGTCGTTTAAACCTCAGTTTTCATCTAGATGAATACTATTTGAATACAGGTCATCTACAGCTGATCTACCTATCACACATTTTGTACTCTTTAACATTCAGCTCTCTCCAACAATCAGAACTGATAGGGACATGTTTAAAAAAGACCTGTAAAATGAAATTGATCAATTCGAAAATATGTTTCCATGGATTTTTTTTATTTGTATACTGAATGAAGGTATGGATTCCAAAAACGATCTGTTGATTGCAGGGCATTGGATCGTATGTTCTTAGCCGTTCCACTGTTCAGTCATGCGCTCTTCTAAGCTTTTGTCACCGATGATTGCAATTGTACACTAGAGAAAGTTTATGCAATTTTGAACAACTATCCTTCTACTCAACGTCGTGTATATTGTATCTGATAATGGAATCATTCCGAATGGCTCCAACTTTACAAGACAAGGTAGTATCCATTAAATTCTTGCTGTTCTTGTGCAAATTAACTAGCTTGGAGTACTCCAAACATTTTCAAATACCAATTCATTTTTATCATTCGGTTCAGGTAAATGAAACTGGACCAACTTGTACAAAAGCTTCGAGAAACTCTAAGACTGCGACCGGTAACCAACGTTCCCGATAAACAAAATGTTTAACCTCCCCATTAACTTTGGACTTGGTATGCTTTTAGTCAGGGTCTGGGTTATCGTGTAAAGATCCGTATTTTATGTGCTCCCAGGCAGACAGTTACCAGAACCAAAGTATGCAGAATATATTTTACTGACGAGGGGAATTCCAGATAGGTTTCAACTATGGTTGTCATACAATTTGCTTCTTCAAAGTGTAACGCGAAGAACGCCACCGGACCAAGACGATCAAACTCCCAGTCTTACTGTAAATGCAGAGGTAGACAAATTTAGGCAGCTGAGTCTTTGCGGGGGTACGAAATTTGGGTCTGCCAGCTGCTAAACCGTTGTTTGATTCATTCCACCGTCGTCCACTCCGGACTCGACTTACCTTTAGTGTTACAAGCGTGCTTGTGGCATAGAGCGGATCCGTGGGCGGTCTGAAGAGTACTTTGAGTTCCATCCGAATAGATTTGCGTTTGAGAAATGGAATAAATGGACGACGTCGTGACATGCGGCTGTATGATGCAGTTGTTTTACTGTAAGGTTAATAAATATGACCGAGACGGAAAAAGGATAAACAAAGATGGTCAAGTTGGGAGCTTCGTTGTTCTCAGAGCATTGCATGAGTTTGTTCAAATAACCGGATAAGCGAAAAAAAGTTTAGGCGATTAGTGGTAAGTAATCGGGTTTGCATATTAACGTAATTGCTTTCATCTCCATAGATTAATGTTGATAGGGTATGCCACCGGATAGGCTCGATTGAGGTGTAATGTTTACCGAGCAGATGGCGACTGGGAGGACGTTAATTAAGCTCGGACTGGGAATTGGAGTGGAGGTAAGAAAATCTAGAACGAAGGACTTGTTCATGTTAGACTGCCTGGTTTGGGACCTTGGGCGAACCTGATCGCAGAGTAAGCAGAAATTGCTTGTGGCAATCAGTTATTTTGCAAAGAAACCTTTGATCCCGCAAAATGCCCGTTTCACCAGACCAGTGCCTAAAATTCTGAATGAAACTATCGACTTTCTGAAATTCCTGCCTCCAGCCAACGGTCCTGAGAGAGTCATGGCCTCACATACTTTTTATTACCCTACTGGAAAACTACTTGTGCAAGACATCCGGTCATTCGATTGGACCAGATTCTTCGAACGCAATCACAGAACAATGCTCACAGCTCCAACTGGATTGCAACATTACTGATCATGAACAAACTCGCCGTTTGTCTCCGCTACTAGACGTTACAGAACTTTTGATCGAATTCGCCACATCCGGGTTACAGAGGGACGAATTTGAACAAATCAAACAACAATTCCTATGGCATCGGGGTAAGCTGTGAAACTTGACTTCCTTTTGTACTGATGAAAATTATAAAAGCTCGGTTTTATCCATTCTTCTCATGGTATGTTATACTTTTAACGGTTTTCGAACTATGTCTCACACAAGCGCATAGTTTCGCTTGTACGGTTGTAGGCGTTGATCAAACTCATGCAACATCGTGACATTCATCAGAGTCCCTTCGCTGAATGCCTAACGTTCTGAGCCTGTGATGAGTGAACTATCTCAGATGAGACCAGCCAAGCGCCTACGCTTTACTACTTCTGGACAACGAACCAGAGGGAAAGTTGTGCGATTCAAACAGAGCTGTGTGATGTCAAGAATACAAGCACGCGATTGGTAGATACCTGTACAGCCAGTAAACTTCCTTTGTACATTATTTAATACTCATGGTTTCTTTCAGTGAACGAACTGCAACTTCTGTGACCTTTTTCCTGCATCTCGGTGACGGGAGATTCCAGCCTACTCGTGCTAGTGCGATTCAGTGTTTCACTTGCATCCGTGATTCGTAATCTCTGCTTACTTCGACTACTACGGTCTCATAGAATTGATATGGTATTATCACACCAAACAAAAGTATCCACTTACATTGCCGTTTATAATAGGTCAATGCCTTATAAACGTACGATTTTCAGAGTCCAACAACGACATATATGTTGTTTGTAAAAGTAAGTTACAGCAATGACAGATATTAAAATTGCATTTCCTCAACGCCCTATGTGCCCTCATTTGTTTCTGGGCCCTTGGGCCGGGCGTTTTGGAATAGAGTCCATCAACTCTTCACTTATATCGGCCCTGAACACAGGGAAAAGGTTATACTTACATTTGGATCCTGGCGGTTAGGCGGCAACTCAATAAATTTGATTTTTGGAAATTATCAACCTAGAAACTGATCAAATTGCCATAACAAATTAACTGGTATATTTACTTTGTATTGTATGGGAAAATAAATGCCAGTTCGAAAACATATTGATCAGAATACACAACCATAAAACAGAAAATAATCTTTTGTGCTGCACTTCACCAAATGGTTTTTAGCTGTCACTTCCGAACTACTTCAGATATTATCCCAAGATTCAAGTGTGGCAATCGGAGTAGAAAAGAACTAGGTGGCGTAACTGCAAGCGAAACACGGAATCATACCGGTAAGCGTATGCCGAACTCTCTCCTCACCAAGACGTAGTAAGAAGGCCACAGATGTAACGATTCGATTATTGGAAGAAATTGCTATTCATACATAGACAGACTGCAGTTAAATTCCAACCCATACCGGTGCATCAGAGGAGACATGATTAAGGTATATCAAATAATGCAAAACCCAAGCCATCCGTGTCGCCCGCTGCTAAAATTATCACCCAACGTTCGTCCCAGAGGACATCCGCTCAAACTAGTGGTCTCAAAATATCGATTAGAATGTCGGCGTCAGTCATTCGCAGTCAGAGTGTGCTCGGTCTGGAACTCTCTCCCACCTCACGTCGTCTGTGCTCCAAGCGTTGAGTCTTTCAAACTGGGACTTGATGAATATTAGCTCGCCTTACATTCCAATATAAATGAAGCTGCGTGCAGCTGTGAAAGAAACCCCGTTTCATGTGACATTTTTACATGTGGAATCGTATGCAGCACTGTCTTGTAACCAAAACACGAATTTACGGGATGAGAAAAGCATGAGCCTGTAAGTTAACCCCATAATAAAAAACGGGATTAAATAATAGCTCAAAAAGGACACCGACTAATTAGATCTTCATCAATGGTCTGCCAGTAATTACTTCGTTACAGAGCTTCCATCTGAACCGCAAGCTTCTGACTGGTAGATGCTATCAGCCTGTGGCTCACTGTTCAGAAACTGTAACATGTGGGCCTTTGGTTAGTGTTATATCTGATATTTAAATCACTATACTATGGTATCCCAAATTTAAACAGTCATACAAGAAAACTGAAAAAACTAAGGTGAGGGATAAAGTTTGAGTTAACTGCTATTTACCCATAGTTCTTGATGTGCAAGCATGAAAATGGGAACTGAAATATATTTATGTACTAACCAACAATGAACACCTGTAGAGGCAAGATCGGTAAGGTGACAGGGAATTTCAGAGTTTCATACACCTCGAACAATCAAAGCCGGATCAATTTCCAAAAAGTGACAGCAAACGATTAGACTGAGAACAATTCTCATGGGAAAAAATACCTAACCTCGAGATCGTCTCCGTCCACCCAAGTGCCTCATTTTGGTACTCGGGGACCTTTCAAGTGAGGTAAGCCGATTTCAGCTTTAGAATTCATCACTTGTATTATAAAAGATAAGCCGTATTTCATTTTTTTTTAGAAAAATCGAACTCTAGTGATAAATCTTCAAAAATGATCAATGTTTTGCTTACTACAAAGTAATATCGGGTATACGGAGTCCGCTAGAATATAACTTTAACCTACAATTACCTCGAATACAACTTGCAGGGCACAGTGACAAACCGCTTCTAGATATGTCATATTTACCCTGCTGTTTAATGAAAATAACGCATAACATCTCCACATTGTTGTTGATTTACAATTCTCAGACCCGAATCGGGGCGTAAATGCTCCACTGGCGCACGTGACGCGAAGTGACCCACGGCACAGACTTGTTTGTGAACTTCAATCGATTGGGACCGAGCGTCTCAAGGAGGTTTTGCATCGTGATTTCTTCTTCCCAATTGTTGGTACCCACATTGAACGACTGGAACGGATCGTATTGGGAGTGATACTCTTAGATGAGTTGTGATATCGGTTGAACAGTTTGCTCTCTCTTTCTCTTTCAACTATACTGCATGACAGCTAAGCCCCAGAGCTGTTCTCTTTTGCGAAGAAACCCCTCTTGTAAGTACCATATCAAATGATTGAAATTGTCAGAAAGCTATCTCGTCACTTATTGCTGTTCTGCCGAAAACTGCTAAAAACTATCCGGGTTTAAAGATTCTAGGTTAAAATTAACGATATATTTTCTGCGTCGGAAATTTCATACTTGAGAAAGTCTTCCAGTATCACTAACTTTTCGTAGATGGACTGCAAATTCACTGAACAACTCTGAGACAAAAAGTGAGTGAAATTAGATTGCATCACATCACAGAAAGCACGTTATTTACTTTGAAAAGTTTGCAAACTGGATCCACAGCGATCCAGTCACCAATTGGCGACCTTCAAAGCCAAACTGAATGAAAATTTCATCCTTCATTCATTTAAGTGAGGTATTTGAAGGTCAAACAAGTTGAACTATCTCGTACAAAGTAAACAAACGACCCATTCAAATTTCTATTTGACGAATAAACATGGGTAGTTGGATAGGCAATTTTAACTGGTTATCAGACATTTCATATCCATGGAATACAATACAATTGTTGTGACGTTGAAATGGACGATACGACTGGACTACCATGAACGGCGACCCAACGATACGTGCAGCAGTAATGATCACCAGAACCATACGACCCAGCGGATAAGTGAACATTGCACAAGTGTGCTCGATTGCGGCAGCTAAGGCAAGTTCTAATAGAACCAGGCGATCCCCGAACCCGACCAGAGAGAACACGAAAGACAGGCCTTCAGGCGAGGTTGTGTATTTTGCTCACCGAAAAAGGCGAAGACTATGGATAACGCGTCTGTTTATCTGTACATCTTGAGGACCGGCCAGCAATTAACTTGGAAATTAACTCGAAAGTAGTTAGTCATGAAGAAATGTACCAATGAGGATCGAACATTGCCGGGGTGCGGTAAGAGTCTTTCTTGGCACCGAAATCCGGAAATTCAAATTTTATAAAAATAAGGAAATATAGAAAAAAAATAGTCATTTTTATAGGGAAAATGGTCTTTTGAATATCAACAACGCAATTTTTATTGACCAATAAATTTATCGCCACGGTTAGAAAGGAGTCAAAGTTCGTAAAAATCACCTGATATCCGACATTCAGCAGCTCAATTCATGCGTTTTTATATGATTAGTTTGAAGAACTGATAAGGCTGCAATAAAATCATCGATGAATCTATGAGCTTTATCACAATTTAAATGTGACCTACCACGAGTGGCACTTGGCTTGGGGTGAAACAGACGAACCGGATCGCAAAATAATAATAAATAAAATCATCTCGATTATTCACGCACAAATCTGAGTTTATCTTGTGCTCACAGAAGCAAAATTCGGTAATTTCCCTGTCTCGCTGATATAAAACAAACGCGTGATGTTCAACTGACTAATCGAGGAATTCGGATTGATGTATAGAAGAAATAACCCGGTACGAAAATATTCCATCTTATACATTCAAGTTAACCCTATCAGATGGGAATCCTGTCGGCTGTGTGTATGCATCGACCACTGCAACGACCAATTGTGAACAGGCTCGTGGGCGGTTTTCTATTATTGACTTTAAAGTTACCAGAAAAAAGTTAAACGAAATGCTTTCTTCATTAGGAAATAACAAAGGATAATGACAACTATCATGATATTAATAATAATAATAGATTTTCATTCGCCTTCTTGAAACTGACGATGGGGCTTCGTGATCCCTTATGTATCAATATATGGGGTCCTCCTAGATGGACAACGGGGTACACGCAGCATATTCAAGAACCCCACTGGCATCACCATCACAGCCATGAATGAACATATCCAACCTATCAAACAACCGAATGCCAATCTTTTGACCTTGTGTCCAATAGTCAAGATTAATCAACCAAGCGAATCATTTTTATGACCTCTGTTTCTCATCCGAACTCTTAACGTTCAAAATTTATTAACCAACTGTCCACCGTCCGTGCTGATCACACAGTTAAATCGCTCGCTTTTCCGTTGCGAAAGCGGAATTTTATCATTGAAGTCTGATAAAATTCGAGAACGATACGATACATCTCAAAGCTGTTTTAATGACTTACAGCGACCTGTGAGGGCATGGACCCAAAGTCCGTTATGGCTGGGAATAGGAGATGGAGAGGTAAAGTGACACTGGTATGATCGTGGCAGGCCATCTTAACACTGGTGTACCACCACGGAGATGGTGTCTATTTATCAAATATTTGGAGGGAGACCACAATACCTGGGGGGGGGGCACGAGATGTTCACTCCAAATACCTATTCAAAATGTTGTCAAACCGCGAGTAATTGAACAGAAGATAAAAGCTGATTACCCTTTCCTTTTGGGTATTCCGGTACTGGACTTGTTCACCGGATAAAAGCATTGACTGGATGATGGGAATTCGATAGGTGTGACACTGAGAATCGAATGACGTGAACTCGCACTGAAAACCTAATGGATACCGCAGCCAGGTAGAATCAAGGTGAGCAATCGATAAAGATAGTTTTATTCCCAAAGGAAAGCAAATGTGCATCACAAGTGTCAACCACCCATTACTTCATTGTCCACGTTATCCGTTGTGCCGTTTGTTCGCTGGTCGGCATTCAGCCAACCTGACTGCATGTATTTGAGGCAGCCAGATTTTCCGTTTCCTGACCGACTGTCTGGAAGCTGTATTGTAGTGCGGACGCACTGCAGCCGATCTCGATCACCATAGTTAATCAGGGAACGGGGTTAAAAGTGATTCTAGAATGTTAAGGCGCCGTGATTGTGAGCTAAAATCTATGAGCAAAGGTTAAAAGATAAAAGATGCCTAAATAACCAGGGAAAAGAGTATAAAAACCAAACCGATCGGTTTCGAACAGAACACTTTGGTCTTTATTGATTTACTATATCACAGTACTGTTTGTTATACTGTTATTTTCGGCTCCGCACCGCGAATTAGCAATTATCAACCGTGCTTCATCTCCAACCTTAACAATTCCTTACCGAACTCGGTAATCGATATACTGATTCTTGCTTAGTCGTGGCTCATAAATATACTCCCAGACCGTTTCCCGCATTGAAGAACTATTGATATACCTTACCGGCAATGACATTCATCCACCTGTTCAGGTCTATATCATTCTGCTAGAATAAACCTCCCTGATAATCTGCTCTACTCGAGTTCTGACTCGCACGGACAGACTAGAGACGGCATTATTCACAAAATCGGAAAATTGCCTTGGATTTCGGTTCACTCATTCTGAAGCTGATGGTAACCGGTGTTTTCTTTTGTATGTAATAAGTTTCAAAATTTTGATAGCAAACCTCACTAAAGTCCAAGATATACAAAATAAGGCATCAAAATAGTACCGTTGTAGACAATCAAAATTATAACTAGCGTTGATCGAATAGTGTACTCATTTCAAGTGAACACCCCATGAAGCACTCGCCACGAAGTTGCCGACATTCGTGGGGTCACGACTAACTGTGAATTATTCTTATGAACTTGAGTCTCGCTAATCGAGACCAAAGGTCCTGGTAAATGTAATCAAACTGTGAAAAGATGCGACGAGGAAGAGAAACGATACAAAAAAGACTAAAAACTGATAGATGAAGCTGAGTACCGATAGAAAAGGCTTGAGCTATCAAGCCGTTGCCAATCGCATTGCACATAAAATGCATTAGTCAACCCGGAAATCAAATTAAAATAAAATCTCATTTATGCTTGTGAGTGAATGAGTTCAGCTTTAGTTTTGTTTTTCAGGTGAAATACTTTTAACTCTTTCTCTCTTTTCTCTTTCTATACCCGATTAACATTTTTAATTATCTTGTGAACTGTACCTTTCAACACCAAAAGTATACCGGAATTCACATTTGGTTCGAAAGAATCATTGATATTAAAGGCAACCTCGATCTCACTGGAATTTATGCACTAGCTCATTGAGGGCCCAGGCTGAACCCACTCAGAGAACGATTCACATCAACAGTCACGCCTGCGCACGGTAACCGATTTATCGATCCACCTTGATGAGGTTCACTTTCTTACCCGACCGACAGAGGTCAATGACCGCCGGGCTCATTCGTTCTCGTCTTAACCCCACTCGATCAACGGTCAAGGGCATNCCGACGACAGGGACTACGAGTTAAACAACATCCCGGCTCGATAACTCATACAAAAAGTGCTGGATGGGCTGTATGATAGACCCGATTCAGTAGATTTGTGATGGACGAAGCACCAATCACTCTAAGGGATCCCAGCAGAATGTAATAAGTGGATTCACTTATAGTTGAGGAGGTGTAGAGTTTGATAGAAGTGCGATACAGAATGAAGCGTCTTTCGAGTGCTATGCAAGTTCTCCAAACTGTGCACACTTAAGTGATGTGACCTCGATCTACCATGGATCAGACTTTGCATACAAGTTTTACGGACACCTGCAGCATGTGGACATGCGCCATGAGAGAAGAGTCTGCGCAATCCACACGCACTGAGACGAATAGCAGAATTGATCTCAACTCGACAGTCACGAACACCTCGTTGAAAACTGTTAACTGGTGAAAGTCAGAAAACCCTGATCGGATAGACACATCTGCAAACCAAAATACAACGAATCAACCAACGATTGCAGCTGGATGGCAGTGACCGGAGTTGAACTTCGAAATATACCTGGGGACTTAAATAATCTAATATTAAGATTGATATATTGCTATCTTTTAATTCAAAGTTGATGGGTTATTATTGATCGCTGTAATACTTTTTTTATCCTACCGAACAATGTAGGAAGTGACTATCTTTTAAGTCAGTTACTACTGGCGAAAGATCACGAAGATCCTAATCAATGGATATGTCAACTAACTACTCAACAACTTGGATAGATGACTCGGTAACCCGGTCAGGGTTAAACAAAAGCATAGGCCGTAGAGAGGTGAAAGGATAGTAAGCTGAATGATCCGGTT